ACCCCGCCGACGCTCCTCGGGAACCCTCTCGGCTCCCTCTGCCATCCGTTCAGCGGCGCACCCAACCCCGACAGCCGCCAAGGCCCGCCTTCCTGCCCGCCGCGCATTGGCTGGCCCCGGGCAATGAACAGTTCGTGGACCCGACAGGGTAACGGTCCTGCCTGTCACGTTCGAGGCGGGGACCAAGCCAGGCTCCCCCTTCTTGAATGGCCAATCTCGCTGTCCTTCAACGCGTCGAGAGGCGTGACTGCGCGCGCCCAGCGAGCGGCGATAGGCCGGCGGCGGGGAGCGAACCGCGCGGAGACAGCGGGCCCCGCACAGTTTGGTTGAGAACCGAGCAGTGACGTGTCAGTCTGCGGACCAGGAAGGAGCGCGGTGGGAAGGAGCGGCCGCCGTACCCCAGCCACATGATCAGAAGCGGAAATACGCAGAGAAAGCGACCGTAGCCCCACGGCCGGAAAAGTTGGACTTGCGGACCTGGTTTTTAAGGTAGAGACGGCCTGTTACCTAGAAAACGGCTAAAGGAGAGAGCCCGACATGTTATCAAAGCTCTCCGTGGTACCCACAGACGCACCTTGGGTAAGATCTGTCAACGAGTAAGCCCAAGAATTGTTTTCGACTACGTTTCCAAGTAACTTCTTACAGGGGATCCCTGACAGATTTCACTGAAGCATTTCACTTTCTTCAGGCCTAAAAGGCTGTCAGAGCCGCCCGTCCCGGGCTGAGCCATCGATGGCCTGCAGAAATTATCCCAAGCCACGGAGCGGCTCTTGGCAATCAGGAGGCAGCCTAGCTTTGTCAGTTTGTCACTTCGCCAGGTCCCTGCGAGAGGGAGCAGCTTTCTCTCCTCCCTCTCAGACGTTGGTTTCGGCTGCCAAATGCCTATCTTTAGGATATAGAGGTACACGTACACACGTATTCGCGCCCTTCCATGCCTCAGAGCAAAGATTAGACCATCCGGATACGGTTTCCAAATTGTTTCCGGCTTCTTTTACTCAGAAAGGAAACCACCAACGTATTGAAATCAGTGCTTTGCAGTAATGTATTTTCTCAAAATTCTCATGACCTAACTCAACAGCTCTCCTCCTTTATTTTTATAGCAAATATTCCATGTAGTTTTATTTTAGCAAGAATAACGGTAAAGAACACACTTGTGACACAAGCACTCCCAGAGGCAGTCAGGAAGAGCTGAAATCCAGGCATCTTAATCTGATGGAGATAGCATAAGGACTTTACATGTGTTCAAATGCATGTGTCTTAAAAACATTGCTTATTTTTCTTACACAGAAAAATTATTTCTCACAATTCTAGAATCTGGGAAACACAAGATGAAAGGCCTGAATCTGGCAAAGACTTTAATCATGTCATTATATATTGGGTACTCACCTAAGAATTTTTAGTTTTAAAAAACAAAAACAAAGATGCCAGTGAGATGACTTGGTGAGTAAAGACAGTTGCCCCTTTCCAAGCAGACTTTAAATCTCAGTTTGATGCCCCAGAAAACACCTAAAGGTGGCAGAAGAGAACTGACTCCACAAAGTTGTCCACAACTCCACTGTGGCATGTATGTGCATGCATGCACACACACACACACACAGTATTAAATTTTTTAAAGATGCTAACCTAGGCCTGGTGGAAGCCCGTCATCACATCTACTTCAAGATCATCCTGTGCATTTAATGAAACCCTGTCTCCAAGAGTAAACTGAGGCTTGCCTTGCATGCATAAGGCCCTAGATTAAATCTCCCATAGTAAAGAGAAGGAAAAGAGAAGCTTAAAAAATTTTTTTAAGTTTTTTTTATATACATATATATATGGCACTTTAATAAAAAAGATATTCCACCCTTAAAGCCCCTTCTACTCTGGAGTTTTCCCTTTTCCTTATCTGCATTCACTCTGAAGAGGAATAAAAAAAATGACTGTTGAGGGGAAAAAATATGAAAGTTATTGAAAGCTGTCTTTTTTTTTTTAATTTAACATCTTTCTAAAAGACAATACATGTAAGTTTCTAAGCAATAGTTATTTTTAGGAGTAAAATTCCTGTTAGTAAAGGGAGGCTGGGCATGGAGGTATGCTGGGGAGCAAAGACAGGCAGATGTCTATGAGTTCAAGGCCAGTCTGGTCTATATGGAGAGATCTAGGCCATTGAGAACCATAGTGAGACCTTGTCTCTTCTCAAGAGCAAAGCAAAAAAAAAAAAAAAAAAAAAAAAAAAAAAAAAAAAAAGAAAAGAAAAAAACAAAAAAAAAAAAAAAAAAAAAAAAAAAAAAAAAAAAAAAAAAAAAAAAGCAGGATGATACCATACTAGCTAATTATAATTATAGCTAATCTGTAACTATCATTGAAGTCTGAAAAACTAGGTTGCACAGAATTTATTACAGAACTCACAGAAAAGGAAATAAACCAATCCACAGATTACATATGAAGGTGGTTTTAGAAAACAATGGTTTTACTATTCTATCAGTTATTTCATAGTTTGGCAGCACTATTAACAATAGCCTAGAAAGAGAACAGATTGATTGGCCTCATTACCTACCAATTGATAAATGGGCAAAGAAAGCACACATTTGTATACTGTGCTGGCTAGTTCCATATGAACTTGATAAAAGCTAAAGTCATCTGAAAGGAGGGTACCTCAATTAGGAAATGCCTCCATGAGATCGGGCAGTAGGCAGGCCTGTAATACTTTTTTTTTCTTTCTTTCTTTTCCAGACAGGGTTTCTATGTGTAAAGTTGGCCATCCTGGACTCATTTTGTAGACAAGGCTGGCCTTGAACTCATAGATCTGCCTGTACTCTAGGAGTGCTGGGATTATATGCATGTACCACTGCAACCCGCCATTTTCTTAATTAAATGATTTAGAACTTCAGAAACACAGAAGGTGGAGGCAAGAAGGAATTCAGAGCTACTGAGGAAGTTAAGGTCCAGGTGGAGCTACATGATCTTGTCTCAAAAAAGAAAAAGGATGGAGCAGAGAGGAGATGGATATCATCAAAATACAGTGTATATACGTACGAAATTCTAAATTTAAAATATTTTCAAAGAACACTCCATACACACAACTGTTTAGGAACAAAGTAAGGACCCACTACTCCTCCTTCCTCCCTCCTTCTCTCACTCTTCCCTCCCTCTCATAACGAATATTTTCCAGTCACTGCAAGTTTATCTTCAATTGTCCAGTGTGTTCTTAGAGGCCTGCGAACTGAGTCATCCTTAACAGTCTCATATTTTCTTTCATTTTTTTCCTGCTTTACACTTAGCCCTTTTGGTCTGATTTCAAGTGCTGGTTTTAGAACCTGGGATAATTTTATACATTTCCATTTTTCTGCTGTCATTTTCCTAAGTTTCCTTTTAAAAAAAGATTCACCTGCCTCTGCCTCCTGAGTGTTGGAATGAAAGGTATGCACCACCACTGACACCCGACCTATGTTTCATTGAAAATTTTCCACACTTTTATTATGACACTAATTTAACCTTCTCAGTGCCACCTTCTTAAAATGGTTTTATTATCATCATTATTATTAATCATTGTGTGCATGTGTGTGCACTTGCCAAACTCCGGTTTTCTGCAAGATTATATGCTCCTAAGTGATAAATCATCTTTCCCTCAGTGCCATTATTGTTGTTCTTTCTATTTCCTTTCATAGCAAGATGTACTTTGTAGATGTGGAAACCTCTCATATTTCTGTATTAACAATTAGTAGAACTTACCCTTTTTCTTTTTTCTTTTGTTTTTAAGGACAGGATCCTGAAATGTAGCCTGAGGTGTCCCAGAATTTGTTATTATAGACCAGGTTGGCCTTTATCTTGTAGTGATGTCCTTCCCACCATTTCTTCCTCAGTTCTGAGTAGGCATGGATCACCATACTCCATTTAGAATTTAACCATAGTTTCTGTAATTCTATCTCCATGACCATGTTTTTTTGTTTGTTGGTTTACTAAAGGGAGAACTTTTTGATTTTTGAGGCATGTCTCAGGCAGGTCAGACTGTCCTTAAATTGCTTTGAAACTGAGAATGACCTTGAATTCCTGTTCCTTCAGCTTCCACCTCCCAAGTGGTGGAAGTACAGACATGAACCACCACATCTGCCTAGTGGAAATTCCTTTAAAAACAACAAACAAACAGAAAAAAACAAAAACAAAAACAAAAAATGTGTATGGGTGTTTTGCCTCATGTCTGTGTACCCTGAAGTTCCAGACATTTGTTAAGCCACCATATGGGTGCTCGGATCCAAACCAATGACAATAACAGTCAATGTTCATTACTGATGGGCTTCTCTCCAGCCCTGGAAAGTCCTTTTGAAAGTAGGAAGTGGAAAGAAGGTTCAGTGGTTAATGTAGGGTTCCTGTTACAATTTTGTGCATAACTTGGCAACTGTAATCACTTTCAAGATACCTAATAGTCCATCAACTGTATAACCACTTAAAACTTTGATTACAGTTTTCATGTGTATATACTACAGGTTTCTACAAATCAAATATCCAACCTCTTCCTTGGACTACAGAAATGCATTTAATATACTGAAATCTAGAGAATTTCTCCCTTCATAAATACATAGAAGTGAACATACTTTAAAACACACTTGGGCTGGAGAGATGGCTCAGCTTTTAAGAAAACTAGCTTCCAAAGCACCTGGGTTCAATTCCCAGCACCCATATGGCAGCCCACAACTATCTGTAACTCCAGTTCTAAGGGATCCAACACCTTCACACAGATGTACATTCAGGCAAAACACCAATGCACATAAAATAAAAATAAATAATTTTTAAAAACCCACTCACATTCAACAATAAAAAAAATAATAAATAAATAACCAACAATCACGACTTTGATAATAGGTTAACACAATTTTAACACTGTGACCCAAACTCATTCTCAGAACATCTTTCAGAACTAATTTCTAAAATCTACAACCAGATTATCTGACACAAAGTCATTCAATCTATGAATATATATATATATATCTCCAGGATGTGATTTAGAAATCAAACATTACACATTTTTTTGGGAAACCAGCTCATGTTTAATTGTGATAATTTAAAACTGTGCAAGTTCTTTTTTGTTTTTTTCTTTTACATCTGCCCTCCCACCCCATATTTAGACTCTTAAAATGACAGGAAAACATCACCAATCACAGGTCGAATGGTTTAATAAGTATACCCCTTCAGTTCCTATATGAAGCACCCATTATTCCTTAAAACACCAGTCGGACCTGGCAGTGGCCAACAGTAAATTTCATCTTCAGAGTTAATAAGTTCAGATCCTCTTAGCATTCTGTGACACAGTGGCACTTGTCCAGAACTGGCACCACCCCATTGGGGAACTTTAAATGTACCAGTGAAAAAAAGCTGTTTCCCCTTCAAGGGGAAGAAAGAAAATGACTCCCTCAAAACCCAGCCACTTTGGCTGAGGTCAATCTGTCCCATCTCTTCAGGCTCCTTTTTTCCCCGTTCTTTCCTTTTCTGCAGCAGAGCAAAACCTAACCTGAGTTACAAGAAAACAAGACAGTGATGGCTGTAGAGGGAGTGACCTGGAGCAACTGGAATGCTCCTTCACCTCCCACATCCAATGTTATGTGCTTCACAGAAAAACAGTAACAACAAATTCACAAAATACAAGTTAAAATTACAAAGCCCATTCATCCAGGGTGCTGGAAGGCAGGAGGAAGTGGGAAGGAGAATGACACAGGGAAGGGGGGGGGGGAATTACTCAAATCAGTTCAGGCACAGGAGCTGGCAAATGCTAAAAAACAGCTGGAAAACTCTGGTCCTTTCAGACCTAGGGTGGTAGTAAAAATCCACATACTGGAGTCAGGAAGATTCCAATTCATCAAAGAGAAGGGAATATGCAGAGGGCCCTTGGCAGTGGGTCCTGCCTTCCATGGCAGGAGGACGAAAACAAAGAGCTGCCGTATCCTCCACCCAGTCCCACCCATCCCTTTTGACAGCAGGACTCAGTGGCCTGTAGCAGCTTTCAGTTTGGCAGGAGAAGGATGTGGCGAAGGGAATTTCTCTGCAGATGTTGAGCTGCTTAGGGCTGACTGCAGGTAGACTGTCTTGTGGAAAAGTCTGTTGCTTAAAAAGACCACCAAGGAGAAGAGGCGCAACTGGAAAAGACTAAAAGAACAAGAAACTCTACTTGTTAGCTCCCAATTGGTCTAAAGAATGTCTTCATGCATATTATAGTTTATCTGACGACTTTAAATTTAAAACTACATAGGGAAAAACAAGGCAAAGAATTCATCAAAGGAGTACAGATATTAGACACATACATTGATCAGCTAAAGAATGTACTGGGTGCAAAGCAAGTAACAGGATAGACTATTTGCCTACCATGGCTGAACTACTCAGATTAATCCCACCACTTGATAAAAGAAATGCAGCATGTCCTGTTACTGCCCAGCAGTACTGGGGATGAGACTTTTAAAAGGAAATAAAGTTTTATTTTATATTAAATTTTATTTTACTTTTATGGAATTGAATGATTGCCTACAATTAAGACTGTATACCACCTATGTTGTGTTCCTCATGCCTACGGAAGCCAGAGGACTGTGTTGGATCCTGTACAGCTAAAATTACAGATGCCTGTGAGCCACCAAGGTACTAAAAATTGAACTGGGTCCTCTGGAAGAACAACCAGTGTTCTTAACTGCTGAGTCATCTCTCCAGCCCCAATCCAGATTTTCTTCCCCATAATCCAGATTTTAAAAGCTCTTCACTTATGTGGTCAGATCAGATTGAGCTCTACTTTCTTTAAAAGTGGCCATTATCAAAGGACCTTATATCTAGTGACTGTTGCCTTAAAACTCAAATTTTTAGCCCAGTCTGACCCTGAACTCATATTAATCTTCCTGCTTCAGGCTTTCAAGTGCTGGGATTAAGACATGAATCACCACCACCACTGGCACAACTGATCAATTTTTAGGAACAGGTATAAATGGACAGGTTTGGTGGCATCCACCTACCTCAGCATTGGGGACAAGGCAGCAAAATCACAAGCTCAGGGCACAAGGCCACACAGGAAGAGGTAAAAATGAGCCTTTATGAGAGTGTCAGTTTGGGAAACATACAAATTTATGTGCTTAAGCTCAAAAATTTTTGATATAGCTTGTATGTCTGTCTCTGTTTCTATCTTAGTTCCTAGCACCCATATGGTGACTGATCATAGCCTGTAATCCAGTGCCATGGGATCTGGCCCCATCTACTGTCCTCCATAAGCACTGGCATGCACAAGCAAAATACTAACACAGAAAATAAAAATAACTCTTAAAAAATAAACTGTATATTAAGTGTGATGGCTAGTTTGATGTCACCTTGACACAAGCTGGAGTCACTAGAGTAAAGGGAGTGTGAATAGAGAAAAATGGCTTCAGAAGATCCAGCTATAGGGCATTTTCTTAATTAATGAATTTTGGAGGAATGAATTATGAGAGGGGCCATCCCTGGACTAGTGGTCCTAAGTTCTATAAGAAAGCAGGATGAGCAAGCCATGTGGAATAAGCCAGCACCCCTCCATGGCCTTTGCATCTCCTCCTGCCTCCAGTTTCCTGCCCTGTTTGAGTTCCTATCCTGACTTCCTTCAGTGATGAACAGTGGATATAGAAGTGTAAGACACTTAAAGTGTAAGACAAATAAACCAGTTCCTCCTCAAGCTGCTTTGGTCATGATATTTCAACACACCAAGAGTAACCCTAAGTAGGACATAGGTTTTTCTTCAGCATCAGAGATTTATAGGACAGAAGTCTCATTGCTGGCACTTACTATGCTTTTCCAGGAGTCTTTGCTTCATTGGCGCTGATGATGAATAAAGGAAACAGGATTGAAAATAGGCAGCCACTGTTTAAAAAAAAAAAAGAAGGCATGACTTTAGGAAAGATTAGGGTATTAGAAGCCTCAGATTTCTTTGCCTACTGGGCAAACACCATGATGTAATGAAACCTTAATATATCCTATAAACACAGCTCATGAAATGAACAAAAAAAAAAATTCTGAATTTCTAAGAATCTGCCTCCAGGATGCAGCATAGAAGATAGTAGACTATATTTTAATACTGATAAATGTCAACTATTATTAATAACAACTGCAAAAAAATCTTCCTGATGATTGAATGATGCCACTACAGAAGCAAACCAATAAAAGATGATTATTAAAACATACTTGCTACCTCAGTTTTTATTTTTCTAGTCTTTCAAATTCTTTCTCTAGCCAAATTACCTGATGATGTAGGAGGATTGCATTGCTGTGAGGAAAGCCAGGGGCAAGCCAAATCCAAAGTAGTAAGGCCAATTCCGCTCTATGTTTGACAATCGCTGGTGCATTTCAATTCCTAAAACAAGGAAGTCAGTACTCACTTTATTTACAATACTAACTGGAAGACACAAGGCTTGGGTTTTAGGCACAAAGCTACCATTTGGAACACAAATACAGCATATAAACTGTATAAATCTATCAGATTCATGATGGTGCATATTTCTGATTTTAGCATTCTGGAAGGCATAGGCAACTTGGTCTACATAAGGAGTTACTGACCAGCCAGAACTGGTAAGACCCTATCTCAAAGAATTGTACGAATCTGATATAAAGCTTCAATGCAAAGATTTTATAATAATAATAACTTCAAAGTAACATTAATTTTAGCATCAGCATCCTTTGTCAGGATGGTCTACAAAACAAAATATCAAAAAGGATGGCATCTTGGGCAGTGGTGGCTCACGCCTTTAATATCAGCATTCAGGAGGCAAAGGCAGGAAGATCTCTGAATTTGAGGCCAGCCTGCTCTACAGAGTGAGCGAGCTCCAGTACAGCCAGGACTACACAGAGAATCCCTGTCTCACAAAACAAAACAAAAAGAATGGCAGCCGGAAGCAGTGGCACATGCCTGTAGTCCCGGCATTCAGATCTCATGGCCAGCCTGGTCTTGTCTACAGAGTGAGTCCAGGACACCTGGCACTTATTACACAGAGAAACCCTTCAAAAAAAGAAAAGAAAAGAAAAGAAAAAAGAGAAGAGAAGAGAAGAGAAAAGAAAAAGGAAGGAAGGAAGGAAGGAAGGAAGGAAGGAAGGAAGGAAGGAAGGAAGGAAGAAGAAAGAAAAAGGGTAGCATCTCTATTGAAAGCAGTTACCTACTTTCGGCCACACTCACCAAGATTAATATGCAAAACGTTTGTTGTTTGTTTGGCTTTAGTATATATATAGAAAGAGAGAGAGAGCACCAGGTAGTTTGAAATTCAAGACCCTCCTTTCTCTACCTCAAAATGAGTGCAAGAATTACAAGTGCTGGAGCTAGAGAGATGGTTCAGTGGTTAAGAGCACTGACTGCTCTCCCAGAGGACGTGGGTTCAATTCCCAGCACACACACATGGAAGCTCACAACTATCTGCAACTCCAAAATCTGATATCCTCACATAGACACACATACAGGCAAAAAAATCAATGCATATAAAATACAAGTAAGAAAAAATTTAAAGAGGAGGGCGGCTGGAGAAATGGCTCAATGGTTAAGGGCCATGGTTAAGTCTGCTCTTCCAGAGGTCTTGAGTTCAATTCCCAGCAACCACATGATAGCTCACAGGCCATCTATAATAGGATCTGATGCCCTCTTCTGGCATGTGGTGTACATGCAGATAGAGCACTCATATACATAAAATAAATAAATCTTTTAAAAAAAAAAAAAAAAGAGGCTCTAAGAGCAACAATCAATAAATGGGACCTCATGAAATTGAAAAGCTTCTGTAAAGCAAAGGACACCGTCATCAAAACAAAGCGACTGCCTACAGATTGGGAAAGAATCATCACCAACCCTCTATCTGACAGAGGACTCATATCCAATATATATAAAGAACTAAACAAGCTGAAAAGCAACAAACCAAGTAATCCACTTAAAAAATGGGGAACAGAGCTAAAGAGAGAATTCTCTGCAGAGGAATATCGAATGGCATAGAAGCACTTAAAGAAATGCTCAACCTCATTAGCCATTAGGGAAATGCAAATCAAAACAACCTTGAGATTTCACCTTACACCCATCAGAATGGCCAAGATGAAAATCTCAAGGGACAACACATGCTGGAGAGGTTGTGGAGAAAGGGGAACGCTTCTCCACTGCTGGTGGGAATGTAAACTGGTACAACCACTCTGGAAATCAATCTGGCGCTTTCTCAGACAACTAGGAATAGCGCTTCCTCAAGATCCAGCCATACCACTCCTAGGCATATACCCAAAAGAGGCGCAAGTACACAACAAGGACATTTGTTCAACCATGTTTGTAGCAGCTTTATTTGTAATAGCCAGAAGCTGGAAACAACCCAGATGCCCCTCAACTGAAGAATGGATGCAGAAACTGTGGTACATCTATACAATGGAGTATTACTCAGCAATGAAAAATAAGGAAATCATTAAATTTGCAGGTAAATGGTGGGACCTGGAAAGGATCATCCTGAGTGAGTTGACCCAGAAGCAAAAAGACACTCACGGTATATACTCACTCATATAAACATACAATATAGAATAAACCCACTAAAAGCTGTACATCTAAACAAACTAAGCAAAAGAGAGGACCCTAACTAAAATGTTCAATCCCCATCCTGAAAGGCAAAGAGGATGTACATCAGAAGAAAACGAAAATAGGAAACAACCTCGGAACCCGCTACAGAGGGCCTCTGAAAGCCAGAAGAAAACAGGAAACCACCTTGAAACCTGCCACAGAGGGCCTCTGAAAGCTTCTGCAGTATAGACTGTCAAAGCAGATGCTGAGCCTGATGGCCAACTGATGGGCAGAGTGAATGGAATTTTATGTAAGAAGTGGGAAATAGTAAGAGCTGGAGGGAACGGGAACTCCACAAGCAGAGCAACAGAACAAGATAATTTGAACACAGGGAACTTCCCAGAGACTCCTACTCCAACCAAGGACTATTTGTGGAGATGACCTGGAACCCCTGCACAGGTGTAGCCCATGGCAGTTCAGTGTCCAAGTGGGTTACATAGTAATGGGAAGAGGGACTGCCTCTGACATAATCTGATTGGCCTGCTCTTTGATCACTTCCCCCTGGGGGGGAGCAGCCTCACCAGGCCACAGTAGAGGACAATGCAGCCACTTTTGATGAGAACTGATAGACTAAGATCAGAAAGAAGGAGAGGAGGACCTCCCCTATCAGTGGACTTGGGGAGTGGCATGCATGCAGAAAGGGGAGGGAGGGTGGGATTGGCAGGGGAGGAGGGAGGGGCTTATGGGGGGATACAAAATGAATAAAGTGTAATTAATAAAAAATAAATAAAAGATTTAAATTAAAAAAAAAAAAAAAAGAAAAGAAAAGAAGGCTGGAGAGATGGCTGCTTTAGAGCACTGACTGCTCTTCTAAAGGTCCTGAGTTCAATTTCCAGCAACCACATGGTGGCTCATAACCATCTATAATGAGATTACCTGGTGCTCTCTTCTGGCATGCAGGTGTATATGCAGACAGAACATATTCATAATAAATAAATCTTTTTTTTTAAAAAAAAAAAAAAAAAAAAAGAGAATTTATTTTGCCCTAAGACAGGGTTCCTCTGTGTAGCCTTGGCTGTCCTGGACTCACTTTGTAGATCAGGCTGGCCTTCAGCTTTGAGATCTGCCTGCCTCTTAAAAAAAGAAAAAAAAAAAAAAAGGAAAGGAAAGGAAAGGAAAGAGAAGGGGGAAGGCGGAAGGGAGATGGGTAGGAGGAAGGGGAAAGGAAAAGGGAAAGGAAAGAAAAGGGGAAAGGAAGGGAAAGGGGAAAGGAAAGGGGGGAGGAGGAAAGGAAAGAGGGAGGAGGAGAGGAAAGGGGGAGGGGAGGGGGAAGGGAAAAGAAAAGGAAAAGAAAAATGAAGGGGAAAAAAAAAAAAAAAAAGCATTACATGTGCCGGACTCCACCCAGAGCATAAAAGTCTTTCTACAAAATTCCCAGCTGGTGTGATGGCACACACCTGTAGTCCCAGCATTCAAAAACCAAAAGTACTGAAGTTTGAAACATAAAAAAAAAAAAAAAAAAAAAAAACAGGCCACCAAGGCTACACACAGCAAGACCCCAACTGAAAAGAAAAAAAAAAAAAAAGGTGATCCAAAACTATAAAGTCAACACTCTGGAAGTAGATGAAGGCAGATCAGAAGTTCAAGGTCCCCCTCAGCTGTACAGCAAGTTCATTAGTTACATGAGATCTTGACTCAAAAGTTTAAAAAAATGGTTTAAAAGAAAATAACTAAAATTTAAGAATAAATAAATCCCACAGTAATCAAATAGCTGGGCTTGATAGTACACATATGTAATTCCAGCACTTGGGAAGTAGAAGCAAGAAGCTGGAAGGAAAGCTGAAGGCCAGCCTGGACTCTAAGGGTAAGCAGTCAAGGCTAGCCTGGGTTACACAAAAAGCCCATGTCTGAAATTAAATTTATTATTATTCTAAATACACTGGCATCCACTTAACATCTCTAAAACAACTTGTGCTCTTTTTGCCAACTTCTGGCCCAGACAGAACTACATCGCATTAAACACTAAAATGGTAATTCTACAATGCTAAACCCCTGGCCCCAAAGACTGATGAACCTACTAGGCCAAATGTAATCTCTCTTTTTGACACACACTCTCTCTCTCAAAGCCAATGTCCTTTCAGAAACTTGCTAAGAGCTTAAGAATTAAAAAGCTTAGTGTGGGGAGCACCAACACTTCTGAACGGAGCCTCTCTTTTCTGTTTCCTTATATGGACTTACCTTTATTGAACCAACGGTACTCAAAGCAATATAGTGAGTAGAGAAGAGACATATGCAGCAGACTAACCAGCTGACCCACAAGATGGATTGGGAAGAGACTCACAAACATCCCCTGAGGAACAAATGCAGCACATCTTAATTCCAGGATGTCAGATACTTCTCACCCATCACTCCAATCAGAGATGGCCTCCTAGTCCCTTCAAATGTTGTTTAATGGTAGGATCAGAATCTCCAAGGGAAGAAGAGGTAAATCTATGGTTCTTATAATTTTATATTTAAACTCTAGCTGCTTCTAGGGAAAAGGCTTTTAAAGTCTTTCTCTCCTTACCTCCTTCCCTATCCCCATGACCATATCTCAGGTAAGTACTACTGTCCTTCCCCCACCCCCCTTTTTTTTTCAGGTTTTTAAATTTTATATGAGTATTCTGCCTTCATGTATGGCTATATACCATATGTGGCCCCTGGTACCTTCAGAAGTCATAAGAGGATGTTGCATCAACCGGAAATGGAGTTACAGGTGGTTATGAATCAGCTCATGAGGGTACTAGAAATCAAACCTGGGTCCTCTGAAAGAGCAGCAAGTACTCTCAACCCCTGAGCCATTTTTCAACCTCCATTTTTATTTTCTTAAATGAGGTAGGGGTGGGTAGGTGTAGGTGTGTAGGTGTCCGTGTCCTCTTAAATCTCAGCTGTATAACAATTCTTATCTCTGCCTAATCACTTCAATTTAGCTTCCTAAATTCTTACCCAGAGCGATCCACTGTGTAAAAGGGAGTTCAAATCCCCAGCACCAATATAAATGCCAGGCATGGATATATATGCCAATAACCCCAACACATGACAGGAAGCAGGGACAGACAAATCCTAAAAGACTGCTGGACACAAGTTATTCTAACCAAAAAATAGTGATCTTCAGGTTCAGAGAGAGATCTCATCTCAAAAAGTACGTGAAGTGTGCACATATCCTTCCCACCCCTGCACGCACACAAGAGCTTTAAAAATACTTCCCACAAGAGGCATATGCATACTCCAGAACTTTGTATAAAGGCAAAGACCCAGCTTTGTGAAGTTTCCTCCCATTAATTAACTTTTTTCTTTTCTTTTTAAAAATGTCTCCATTTGTCTCTCACCTGAATAAGGAAAAGTGCCTGCAGCAAAAGGTTGAAGAGCATATCAGCAATTATTTTGCTGACACTGGGGAATGGATGAGGTTTCCTCCCTGATACCTCAAATGCCAAGTCAGCTATATCCTGAAATGGAGAACAGTAGGGCAGCAAAAGATGAATTAAATGGTACCAGTGTCTATCCCCAGAATTAATACCACTAGTCTGCCCCTAGAGTAGATCTGCCAGGTGAGAAAAGCCTACCTAAGTAACCTGAGACAGTAATTTCATTTCACAAAACCACAACGATTACCCAACTGGCTGCTTGGCTTAAAAAATGTTTTATGGGCCACTAACTTCCTAGGCTAAAATGTCTAACCTAGTCAACCCATCATGTAGAACCCAGACTCCATTCTGCCCTGGACCTACTTGGAACCAAATGGCATTCACAACTTTGCTAAGCACAAACAGGGGGAGCACCCAAAGAGCACTGAAAATTGAAGTGAGGAAGAATTCCAGCCATGACCAAACGTCTCCATGTAGTGATGGGTCACCTAAAAAAGCAAAAAGAGCCATTAGCTTAACTGGCCAGATAGAAAGCTCTAAGACCCAAAATGAAACTATTTTGTGACTATTCCTCTGCTTCATAGTCTGGACACAGCTCTTAATCAGAGCAATTACAGTTATGTTCTGCTTATCTTGAAACAAACCTGCTTACAGGTGACTACTGCCATGTCACAGGGAGTAACTGCAGAGCTAACCTACCTGGATTTAAGTCTGTGCTGCTCCTTACTAATGGCTTAACTAACTTCTACTTCTCCATAAAATGGTCAACCGAGCGGGGGGGGGGGGGGGGGGGGGGGGGGG